CTACCATATTATGTACATCTGTAAAACACACCCAAAATATAAATTAAAGAATGAGATAAAGATTTTTCATTTAAAAACTTTTATTTGGTACCTCCTCCACAGCAGACATTTTGTGCCTGCTGGAGATAGCACTAGGAACAATGTTCCTGATCTTACAGAGCTTACATCTTAAGAGGGAGGGACCAGGGAGATAGGTAGCAAATAACTATGTCTGTTAGCAATAAAAAACTGTAAAGAAAAAAACAATATATGAAGATTGGAAACAATAAAAGGCTATTTCGATAGCGTTGTTAGGGAAACTTGAATGTTAGATGATACTAGAGCAAAGTTAAATATTTATTTAAAAGATGAAAAACAATATTTTCAAATATCTTGCTAATTATGATGTTTTCACACCATCATTTGCTATTATCTCAAGGCACTGCCAGGGTGAGGTTCATTTTTAAGAACAGTATATAGGAATCTATATTTCAAATAGTCTTCTTGTCTCAGGTCCAATTAGACTGTCATTGTTTCTACACTGAATATAATCTGAAAGATGAAATAATATGCCATTTCTTGGAGTAAATGGCATCAGTGCCATTGCTTGGAGTAAATGGCATCAGCTATGTCTTTTTCTTGTGGTTCATCATTTGATACTGGTGTTATCCTTGATTTGGTTTTCATGGCAGAATCTTTTTCAAAGTTTTGTCCATGTTTTGAGGATTTAGTTAAAACCTGATAACAGAATCTATAAATTCACTTAATTGGGCAAACATAACCAATAATATATTCTTGAGGAAGGGTGCTTGTCATTCCCTCTACCCTGTATAACTCCCACTCGGTTTTTCAGGATCCCTTAATGTCCTGTGATATGTAACTGACATTGGGCCCAAGCATAGGTGACAATGCCAATTTATATATTAAATATCAGTAAAATTTATTTTGTATTTTACTTAAAGTACATACAAGTAAAATACCTAATATTTTCTTCCCATACTCCAAAATAGCATCTTCAAGATGGACCATAGGATATTAAAAAAACTCACTGTTCTAAGTCTTCAGAAAAATGGGTTTGGGAAATGCTTAGATGAAAGCTGATAAACTCATGACATGAGCTCCTAAAAGAGAAGAGTTCTGATAGGCTTGTAACAATGAGACTGTATGGATCTTTTTTTTTTTTTTTTTGGAGACAGTCTTGCTCTGTCACCCAGGCTGGAGTGCAGTGGCACAGTCTTGGCTCACTGAAGCCTGTGCCTCCGAGGTTCAAGTGATTCTTGTGCTTCAGCTTCCCAGGTAACTGGGACTACAGGTATGCGCCACCATGCCCAGCTAATTTTTGTATTTTTAGTAGAGATGGGGTTTCACCATCTCGGCCAGGCTGATCTTGAACTCCTGACCTCAAGTATCTGCCCACCTCTGCCTCCCAAAGTGCTGGGATTATAAGCATGAGCCACCACACCCAGAAGATCAGTTCTTTAAAAGGCTACATTTACAATATACTAATAAGACAGTTTCTTTGATTAAACACATATTTACATATGCATATTTTGCTCAGTGAAAAACCAAAATGTTAACTATGGTGACTTTAGCAGTGATGTTATTTTTTTTTTTTTTTTGCTTCTTTGTATTTGCTAATTTTCTACAATAATTATGCATTATTTGCATAATAAAGGTTTAAACAGCGTTAAATAGAAGTACACATACAAAGCTGGAAGGTGATAGAACCAACTAAAGAATATAATAAATCTTTAAGAATAACATAAGGATAAATCCAGAAGTTTTCATAAGCCAAGAAAAGCTTATAAAAGTGTCAAAACACACTCAAAGCAATATTTAAAGCTATACTCAAGGCAAGAATACAGAGATCTATCCTTGTAATGGAAAGAAAGCAGAGATAAGGTAAGAAACTAGAGAGCATCTAGTTGTGAATTCTGAGTTCATGTCTCTTCCTCCAGCTCATTTCACATTGCCTAAAGAAAGGACAAGTTGTGAATAAAATTAGAGAAAACATAAAAACAATCTTCAGAACACTGGAGATGGGCATGTGCCTTGACTTTCAAAGAAGAAAGAGAAGGCAAATTGCAAGAAATTTATGTTTTAAAATAAGTAAGTTGGTAGGTCATGACCATACCAAAATATGTCAAGCTTGCTTCTACTTTTAAAGAATCATTTGTAATTAACTGCATATTGACATTTTGAAATACGTCAAATAAGTACGTGTACAAGTACACATACAATCATCATAGATTCAATAGCTACAAATACAGATGATACAGGTTGAGCATCACTAATCCAAAAATCCAAAATTCTCCAAAATCTGAAACTTTTTGAGCACTGACATGATGTGCACAGGAAATGCTTATTAGAGCATTTTGGATTTTAAATTAGGGATGCTTATCTGGTAAATATAATGCGAATATTCTAAAATCTGAAAAAATAAAAAAATCCAAAACTTTTGGTCCCAAGCTTTTCGGATACTCAACCTGTATAAATGACCAAATACTATAAGCAGAGTTGCTGACATGAGTTTTTGCAACCATGAACAACTCTTAGTACTTCTGAAGAGAAGAAAGTACAATCTTTCCTCTACTTCCTTATATGGTAGCTGCATTAGTGGAATCAGTGTATACTAAAACCATGCCCCAGACAATGTGTGTTTATAAGTAAATCAGAGTTAAGTTATTTCTAGGCTTAGAGAATCATAAACATGTTTCACTGCTACACGAATATGCAAGGGGAGATCTAAAAGTCATTCAGGTTGCTGGATAAATCTTCACTGTGTATGACTGGCTGGGATATAGCAGCAGGATGTTTAACGTCCCTGGCCCTTGCCTTTCATATCATTGTAATGTACGATTACAACCCTCTATCTTTGTGCTAAATAAAAAAAATTGCCCCACAAGTTTCCAAAATTGCCTCTAGATGGCAATAGTATCCTTGTTGTAAATTACTGATCTCTTAGCATAGGATACACCATGGTACCTTCATAAAGCTTTATATATAACAGAAAATACCTTCAAGTTCTACTTATGATGCTCTCATCTTGGAAGGTAAAGAAAGCAGAGACCAGGATACATTTGAGAATGACATGAACTTACAAGAGCCATAGTGAATATGTTTAGGTTTAAATATTGTGAAAAACATTTAAAATATAAAATAAATTAGCACTAGTCAGCCCTAACTGATCAGAATACTTCATTTCACCTGACAAAATATTTAAAACAGAAAAACCAATAACAGACCTCTACTTCTCTTCAGAAGTCTTAGAATATAAATGAAGAAGAGACAGGTTCTTTGCTTTTCCTGAAAAAATATCAGGCGAAATGAGACGCTTGCTTTAATTAAATGAAAGAGTGAAGAGAGGCAAACTATGAAAGATCCGAGCTTAGCTCCCAGACGATGCATTAAGTTTCTACCCCTTACCCCATATACTCCACGCCACAGGTCTGGAAGAGTTGTAACCACATCCCTAGCATTCCCAGGGACAAGGTGCTTTTTTGAATGGGACATTATCTGGCCCTAGAACAGGACTAAAAGAAAGGTCTGCGCTGGAGTTCAAGCCACTTCATTTCTTGTTGAGAATACACAATAAATAGGTCTATTTCTTTTTAAAAGATCATACAGATTTTTCTATTGAACCCAACTATATGGTGGATTATAAAAAATATCTGATAAACTTATCCCTTTAGCTAACTTGGGAGCCATTTTGCAGTGATGGCTCACAAGCACTTTTGTTATTTATTCCTTTAAATCATTCCAATATTAATAGAAAAAATTCATGATGAACAAAAATGAAATTTTAAATAAGGACAGCACTTGATGCAAAAAGAAAAGCTGGTAATACTGATCCCATCTTTGTTTTAAACTTGTATATATTGTGTTGGTTATGAATTTTTTTTGCATGACTTGATTTTTTAAAAGATTGTATTAAAATAGTTCAAAGTTTTTTTTTTTTCTTTTTTTTTTTCTGTTTTTAGGAGTGGAGGTTTAACAGACAAAATAAAGAGAAAAGAGAACAGCTCTCTCTCTAGTGAAAGAAAGGGGCTTCGGAAAGGGAAGGACCCTAAAGTTTTGTTTTTTTGAGACAGGGTCTCACTCCGTCATCCAGTCTGGAGTGCGGTGGCGCGATCTGGGCTCCCTGAAACCCCCGCATCGTGTCCCCCAAGTAGTTGGGACTACAGGCGTGCGCCACCACGCCCGGCTAATTTTTGTATATTTAGTAGAGACGGGGTTTCAACATGTTAGCCAGGCTCGTCTAGAACTCTTGAGCTCGAGTTCAAGTGATTTGCCCGCCTCGGCCTTCCAAAGTGCTAGGATTATAGGCGCGAGCCACCACACCTGGCCTTAAAATACTTTTTATCTTGATGACTGAGGGTGTGTGTGTGTGTGTGTGTGTGTGTGTGTGTGTGTTTTAGCGTCCCCTTGAATTTTGGGCAGAACGAAGTGCCTCCTTGGTCTTCAGTAGTTCAAGAATAAGCAGAACCTCTTTTCACTAATAGGTTTCAGAGTACTGGGAGGCCCCAGTGCTTCCATATTTGTACTTCTCTTAGACATACTATTTCAACAAATACACATACAGTTTTTGAGACAAGGTCTCACTCTGTTGCCAACGCTGGAGCATAGTGGGGTGATTATACCAACAAATATTTAAGCAACTTACAACACTAGTTATAGCAGAGTGCCTAAGGGCATCTCCCTCAATCCTGGCAGGTCAACCACTTTCCTTCTGGACCTGGTACAGGTGCACCAAGGTGTAAATCGCGCTGCAGCAGATTAGATAAAGATAAGGCAGTGGTTTCCCCTGTACCAGGACTTGGTCAGGACCAAGGCAGCCCTGGGAAAGCAGAGCCTGTTAGGTTCAGAAACTAAATTCTGGAAGGGTAAGAAGCAAATTCATTACTGACAGCTGTAACCATGGTTGTGGGGCTCACAATCGTGCCCCTCCCAGCCACCCCACTTCTCTGGGAAGCTGATGGGGGCGCCGGGAGAGGCTGACGGGGCGGCCTGCCTTTACGCACCCTGCTCGCGAGGAATCCGCACCAGGCAGTCCACCATGCCTTTGTACCGCGCCTCCGGGCTGATCTGCTTCGACGACGCCTGCACTTGCAGCAGCAGCTTCACCCGCTCGATGGGCGCCACCGCTGTCTTGGACACAGCTGCCGCGACTCCGCCGGCCAGAAGGTCCTTCCCAAAAGACGAGGCGTCAAACAGCCGCTTTTCTGCCTTCTTCTTCGGAGGCTCACGATGCATGATGGAGAACGATATAAAAAACCGGCAGCAGTGGCTAAAAATGAGTGTGGGAGCGACGATGAAGGGAAGCTGAAAACCGCTGTAGCATCGTCCTGGCGAGAAAGTGACTCTTAGGACGCTGGGAGAGCTGCGCGCCGGCGTGGGGCGTTCGGAAAAGCTGCGCAGGCGCTCCAACGGCCTCCAGCCACTAGGCGCCTGACACGTGGTGCCTGACACGTGATGCCTGACACGTGACTCCTGACACGTGGCTTCTGGATGCGCGGTGACGCCTGCGCACTTCTACTAGCGGAGCCTGGGCTTTCTGATGAGGGAGGGGTCCGGAGGCGGTGAGCACCGAGCAGGAAAGGTGAGTGGAGGGACCAGGGAGAGCCAGTTCTGTATGAAGACATTTAGTAGCTGAGACTAGGCCAGAGCAGTCAACCAGCGGTGTGAGATTAACAGAATTTAGTTTTTTATTTTTATTTTTTATTTGTTTATTTTTTTTGGAGACATAGTCACCCAGGCTGGAGTGCAGTGGTGCCATCTCGTCTCACTGCAACCTCCTCCTGCCGGGTTCTTGCCATTCTCCTGACTCAGCCTCCAGAGTAGGTGGGACTACAGGCACTCGCCACCATACCAGGCTAATTATTTTGTATTTTTAGTAGAGACGGGGTTTCACCTTGTTAGCCAGGCTGGTCTCAATCTCCTGACGTTGTGAGCCACCCACCTCAGCCTCCCAAAGTGCTGGGATTACAGGCGTGAGCCACCGGCCAGATTTAGTTTAATTACCAGTATTATCCCCTTCACTTTCTTAATCGCTTTAATCCGTTATGTTCTCTTTGACCAGAGATGGTTCCTTTGACCTTTCTTGGCAACTTAAAAAAGACAGTCTTATTTGTAGTGTGATTCAAGTAATGTTCCCCTTAAATTTCTCCCTATGTGCCTGTTAATCCTTCAAATTCCCTTGGAAATTGCTTTAATCCGTTCCTTTAATTAAGCAGGGATCCTTTGTCTAGTCACTTTGTGTCGTTTTGCTGATTGTGCCCCCATTGCATAATACATGTTCTTCTTTTTCATATTGTATTTAAATTGATAATATCCAGAGCAGTGGTTCTCAATCCAGACTGCACATTCAAAGGGATGAGTGGTGTTTTGTTTTGTTTTTCAAATTGATGCTTGGGATTAGGTCCTGCCCATTGAATCAGGACGTCTAGAAGTGAGGCCTGGCATCAGTATTTAAATTCTCCAGGTAATTCTAATGTTTGAAGTAATTCTAATTCTAGGGTTGAGGGCCAATGACCTATCTAGAAGAGTAGTTCACAAACTTTTCTACTGTGGGACCCCTCTTTATTCACTGAAAAATTATTGAAGGCCAGGTACCAGTAATCCCAAAACTTTGGGCCAAGTCCAGCCTGGGCAACATAGTGAGACCCCTCCTTTACAAAAAAAAAAAAAAAAAAAAAAAGCTGGGCATGGCTGCACAAGCCTGTAGTCCTAAGTATAGCTACTCAGGAGGCTGAGACAGGAGGAGTGCTTGATCCCGGGAGTTGGAGGCTGCGTGAGCTATGATCTCACCACTGCACTCCAGCCTGGGCAACAGAGCAGGACCCTGTCTCTTAAAAAAAATTATTGAAGACAAAATGAAGCTTCTGTTTTTGTTATGTATATTGGCATTTACCACTCAGAAATTAAAACACAATTTAAAAACATTTAATTCATTTAAAATAAAAATAATCCATTACAGGATAGTATAAGTAAGGCTTTTAAATAAAAAATGTAGTAGAAAAATAGTATTGTTTTATATTTTTGAATCTCTAATGTCTGGCTTAATAAAAGGCAGCTGGATTTACATTACTGCTTTTGCATTCAGTCTGTTGCAATATCACATATGTAGCCACTGAAAACTCCAGTTTATTCAGGACAGAATGAAAGTGAAAAAGGCAAATAATAGTATCGTTTAAGAAAATACCTTTGACCTCACGGTGTTCCTGTCTCCGTGACACAGAGGGGTTTTCCACACTGCACTTTGAGAACTCATTTAGAGGCGGTTGGCAGATTCAGGTTTGACATCTTTTGGCAAAAATACTCAGTAGAGGTACATCTAGCCTGTACATAACATTTGTCTTTTTCTTCCACCTCACTTGTTTCACTTAATATATCGTGGAGATCCTTCTATAATAACATTTAATATATCCCTTTTTACAGCTTGTTTGGTGGTTTTAAATAAATGGAGATCCCATCTTATCACCTCTTACTCTGTAGGACCTGCAGAGCCTTACAACACATCTATAAAATGTGAGAAGAGTTTTTAGCTTTTTTTGAATGTTAGGTTCTAATTTTTCCTTTGTCTTAAGTGTGTTATAAACCTTCTACTAGTACTTGTCACTAGTAAAAAACCATTTAGGTCAGGATTCCAGACCAGGAATGTTGTCAATATTTTGATTACCTCACATAAAATCAATTGGCACGCTACTGATATCATATGTTTGGTGCTACTTCCTTTCCATGGTGGCTTATTCAACTTTTTTTTGAGACAGAGTCTTGCTCTGTTGCCCAGGCTGGAATTCAGTGGTGCAATATTGGCTCACTGAAACCCGGGTTTCAAGCAATTCTCTTGCCTCCACCTCCCAAATAGCTGGGATTATAGGCATCCACCATAACACCCAGCTAAGTTTTGTATTTTTAGTGGAGACAGGGTTTCACCATGTTGGCCAAGCTGGTCTCAAACTCCTGACCTCAAGTGATCCACCCGCCTTGGCCTCCCAAAGTGCTGGGGTTACAGGCGTGAGCTACCGCACCTGACTGGCTTATTCAGCTCTTAACTGGGTTTTTCAACTCAAATCTCTGTTTCTCTCTTTCACACGCAGCAGCCAGATTAATGTGTCTAAAGCATTAATTAATTCCTAGGCTTAAACAAAACAAAGTCTTTCCATTGCATTGACTTCAAAATCCTTTGTCAAATTCATTGTAAATTCAATAAACAATTGGCTTTTTATTAGCAAACATCTGAAAAATGAAAGGTTTCATTCTCCTTCAAGGGAATTTGAAGCATTATCAGGCACATAGGGAGAAATTTAAGGGGGAAATTACTTGAATCACTACAGGTAAGAGTGTCTTTTTAAGATGCCAAGAAAGGTCAAAGGAACCATCTCCGAGGACAGAAAGGAAGTGTTCTGCTGCTCCCCAGGGCAATTTTCTCTTTCTGCCCTCCTCTAACATTTGATTTGATAGTTGCCAATGTTTATATCATATTCCTTTATGATATCAAGCTTATTTCTGACATGTATTCATCGGTAGAAGACAGACAAAAGTGAAAGTATCAACTTAGAAATGTAGCTTTGTAACCTTTTAAAAAACTTTTTGTTGAGACGGGGTCTCACTCTGCACCCAGACTGGAGTGCAATGGCAAGATCATGGCACACTGAAGCCTTGAACTCCTGGGCTCATGTGATTCTCCCACCTCAGCCTCCCAAGTAGCTAGGACTACAGGCAAAGACCACCATATCCAGCTAATTTTTAAAATTTTTTGTGGAGATGGGGTCTCCCTATCAAGACAAACCCAAGCTTGTCTTGAACTCATGGACTTAAGCATTCCTTCCGCCTCAGCCTTTCAAAGTGCTGGGATTACAGTAGTAAGCCACTGTGCCCAATAGCTTTTTAACCTTGTTAAGAGCACTAAATCAACTCTTCAATAGGTCGGAGCTGAAAATGAGTAATTTACTGCATTGATTTTACTTACTGGTAAGGGAAGGAAAAAAAATTCTAGTGATTTATGTTAATATTAAAAGTGTAGTCTCTGGACCTTTGTTCTGTTCACTTTGCTCTCCGGAGAAATCAGCATGATTAGTTTCCTCACTTCAGGTCTGCAGTCACCTCAGCAACCCTTTCCTTGGTCACCCTGTCTGCCACATCTTATATCCCCTTCTCTTGCTTCATGATTTTTTGTCTTAGCATTTACATATTTTACTTTACTTATCTTGTCTGTGGTATGCCTCTCCCATTGGAACATAATAAATCCCATTGGAGGGCAGGAATTTTTAGCTCTTTTATTCATTGCTATAGCCTCTGCATCCAGATCAGCACTTGGCACAGGGTAGATATGCAATAAATACATGTTGGATGAATGCATGAAAAGGCAATACAACTGCAAACAAACCTCCAAATCAGTTTTATTTAAAACTATCAATATAGTATAAAAATAGCTTTAATTACATAGAATATAGAAACACAATTCTGCAAAATTATTTCATACAGTTTTGGTGCATAAAGTTTCAATAACATTTAATAATTTTAAAATATCCAAAGTATAAATTCTTGTTCTCAAAACTGTTTATTGATAAATGATTTTTCTCAGCTTTTCCCCAACATTTTGTACAGTAGCAGGTATGATTTAGCTGACTACTTGGTTTTCAACCAATGGATATTTAATAATAATACTAAATGGTAGCAGTAGCAGCTAACACTTTCATAGCAAGCAGTATGTGCCAGGCACTGTTTAGAAAGAATTAACATGTACAATAATGTTCAAAGCAGAAAAACCTAGTAAATTGGTTTCACAGCTTTGCTCATTTGTATTAGAAATATAAAAAAGCAGGTATTACAAAATACTATCTTGCCATTATACAGCATCATCAATGGTCCCTTGGCACAAATAAGAATCATTCCCTTGCTAGCTACACTTCTCTGGCAAGACAAAAACAAGAGCTAAAGAAAGGGGAGAGGGAGAGAAAGTAAGAGTCTAAAATGTAATTTTGGGGGGCTAAAACATGATGAGACAGAATTTGATATTTTAAAAAATGCTACCTATATATCATTTTTCACATCAATAGTCGGTGGTGGAAGGGAACATTTGCATGATACTAATGAAACTCAACTTAACAATGTTTCTGTGTCTTCTAAAGCATATTTCTAGGATATCTGCACTATCATCTTGTCCCCCTTTATTTAATAAAGTATTAGGCACTTTATTGTCTGATAATTAGTTTGATGTTTCAGATGTGCTTCTGAACATATTTGGAAAAATAGGCAGCTAAGTTTGCCTACAGAGTTTAGTTCAATATCCATTTAGACATGAAAAAATAAGATGTGTGATTTTATTTCTTAAAAATGCAGTGCCCTTTAACATGGAAATTACAGTGCACATCTACAATACAGCAAATAATTTTCTTTTTATTAAGATCAGTAGTCTGCTCTGCCTTTTTATTTCCATTATTGAGTGATGGCCTCATGTTTCTGTGACACCAGGAAAGCAGTTCAGCACATCACAATTTCATTAAATGAAACAAAAAGTACCCTATGATAAAACCCTAACTTAGTTCAGTTTGTATGAAAATCTGAGGTGATCAACAGCTACATTTATTCATAATTATCAGTATTAGAAGTAGTTCATGGTCTTTTCAGGGACATTTCCAGAAATTTAAGACATTTAATAAATTGTTTTGAGCAAAGTGTCTTAATACATATATATGTAAATAAGCAG